CTCATCTGCCTCCTACCCTCCTGTCTCCCTCTCGCAAGGTCCCTGAAAGGTCACCACTGGGGTGGGCACTGAGCACTGCGCATGAAGCCTCCGATGTGGCCGCCGCCGACCTCAACCAGAACAGGAAGGGCAGCTGCTGCAGAAAGCAGGACGTCCAGGACTGTCCTCGGTGCTGGCCAATAGCAAGCACCACCCTCTTAGGTTTTAGCAGTAAAATTATCAACTTCTGAATAGCACCTAATCAGGTATTATTTAGCCATGCCATCAAATTCAGCCCTTTTTCTAACGCTAATCCCACTTGAGAAATATAAAGCTGTAAAATAAGACCTCATCTGTTCTCTGCCAGAATATTTAGGGATGTCGTCTTCTTCTTCTTCTTCTTCTTCTTCTTCTTCTTCTTTTTTTTTTTTTTTAAGGAGGATTTAATTTTCGAACTAGCAAAAAAAAATTATGAGAAGTGAATTTCATAAGACCTCCAGCATCCCAATGACATTAAATAACTTCATTATAACTAGTAACAACTGTTGCACAAATGAGTGAGAGTAATAATAAAATAGCTAGCATTTATTTTCCCTCCACTGTATCCCAAGCACTGTGGTATTTTTAAGCAATTGCAATGGATCATTTCATTTATTCTTCACAATAATAAAATTAGGAAGTACTATGATTGGATCCACATTACAGATGATAAAATAGAGACTCAGAGAGGGCGAGTAACCCATTGAAAGCCGCACAGCTGGGAAGCTGGGCACCACGTTCACACCATGCACGTTGCCTCCGTGGGCTGCACAGGAGCTTGGAATGCAGAGACCAATGGGACACAGTCCATGGACCCTCAGCATTTATTTTAGATTTTTGATCCTCGAAGATTTTTCCCCCAACGAAAAATCCTTTTCTATTGCACACACTATGTTCACTGTTGAAAGGAATAAAGCAGAGTCCTTTGCATTGGCTCCTTCAGCAGCCCAGCCCCCAAATTAGCTGCCAGTAAAAGGTTGGAGCACACAATTTCAGATTTTTTACCCCGAGATGCTTGTTTTCAGACTCCATTTAATCAGGCGAAATGCAATAAACTTTTATTACATATTTATCTATTTATTTGCCCAATGCTTCTTCATAGATAAACAGGACAAGGTAGAGGTTATAATGATAACGTTCCAGAAAGTTCTAGAACACTTGGTACACTTTACCTGAGAGTCCAGTCCCCGTGCTGGCACCCTGCCTCTTCTTATGACCACTCCTAACGATTCGAAGAACGCTCCTGCGCATGTGCCCCCAGCCTCCCGCCCCGGTGGCCAAGTCCATGAGCAGTGCTGAGCCACCTGTTTGGTAAAGGTACATTCTCTGTGTGTGCATACCAAAGTTCAAAGTGTAATGGTCCAACAGCGTTCGCCAGAGGCCAGTTGGCACGATGAAAACAGACACTCCTTTACAGCCTATTGGTTAAAATCAGAGTGATAACAAGATCATTTTAGGCAAAAGAACCGGGCTGTTGATGTACTTTTCGGGGACGGATTATCTCTGTGGCACTTAGAGGAGCCAAACTCGTCACCTAAGACCGGATTAGGTAACGGTGGACGTGCCAGCTGCTAGACTGGCTCCAGAGGAATATCAATGAACGCAGAGCCAACCAACCACGCAGGAGAAACACTGGCGTCAACTCTCCAACTGTCACAGTCAACAAAGTAGGAAGTCTCTTTCGGTTCTTCTTCCTTCGCATCGAGCTGATGCTAACAACACAACGTTAGGCCAGAACTCACAGCTCACACATCTTGGTTGGTCCTGGGCGACCTCCTCGCCTACAGCGGGCCAAGTTCTCACTGAAAAGCAGGCCCGAGGCCATGTTGGGAGATGACACACCCATGTCAAAGCTGGAAGCTCTGGGTGCCGGATCCCCATTCAGAAAGGATCCCCGTTCAGAAAGGCCGTCTGAGCTCCCCAGTGAAGATACCTGCGTTCATTATGAACGCCTACTGTATGCACGAACAACCGCTGGGTAAGGTGAAGAGTGCCAGACAGGCCTCTTCACACGAAGAGGTCAGAGGTATCATTCAACGGCTCAGGTAAACATTGCCGCAGAGCCACAAAAGGAAACTACGACATTGGTTTCTGGAAGATTCTAGGATGTGAAAATCAAGCTCTCCCTCCCCGTGGGCAGGGAGGCAGGAAAGAAAGAGGGTCAGGACAAAGCCGTCGGACACCCCACTGCTCCTCAGAGCTGGTGCTAGGCCTCCCTGCCGGGCCTTTGAAGGTTCTTGTCATAGTCTGTTCCCCCAGGGGTCAGTAAACAAACAAAAGCCATAATAAAGAGCAAACTACACAGCATTTAAGTTCGGGATGCTCTGAATCACAGGTCCCATCATTTGAGCGAGTTTCTTAACTTTTTCTTTCACTGTGAAGAGATTATATACTGACCGCCCAAGTGCTGTTCCCCCACCTCCATCTTCTGAAAGGGGGTCCCAGACGCGTCCTTCAGTGGGGGGCTCCCATGGGGGTCTAAGGTGGGACTCCCAGGACGTCTAATAAGAGCAGAGAAAACAAATGTAATTTTCGGTGCACTTCAGGAGGGGGAGCGAAGTTCGGTAAACTGCTGGTTTGTCTTCCCTGCCACTGCCAGTCTCTTCATCGCTGTCACCTCCTCTCCCCTCAGCACCCTCCTCCCACCTGTCCCTCCTCTCTCTTCTCTCCCCTCTCCTCCCCAAGACCCTGCGTTTTCCCCTACCATGCCCCTCCCTCCATTGGCTTTATACCTCCATTAAAAAATGAGCTTTTAATTGGTAGCTGAAATTTCTAAACACCCATTTATTATATAAAGAGTGGCCCAAACTTTCTGGCTGCCTGCGCATTAGAGCGAGAAGGCACTAAATAAGTGGTGATTGTTCAGGCGGAGAAACTCATTTAAATGATTTAAAAGAAGTTATCACAATACACTATTTTCCCTGGCCCTCCGCTATTTATCTTCCGCGTATAGTATGCATACTGTAATGGAAACCCAGACCGTGTCTAAGCCAGCCAGCCAGCCAAGCAGCTCCCTAACAAACGCTGGCATATGAGTTCCTTTTGAAAGGGAATTTAGTTCCATCCTTTGTGCCATCGAAAATGAAAATGCAGACTTGAGTGCACCCTATGCAGGAGAACGTGACATAAAATTGAGCGGCCACAGGAAGGGCCGCGGAGGGTGCTGGGCAGACACAGACATGGACAGTCCTGGGCCTCTGGACGGGCCCTGTGGGAATCGAACCCTTCCTGGGCTCCGCACGCAGGCATGCATTCTGTAGCCGGTGGTGAAATGAGCCCACGGCCTCCAGAGACCATGGGAAACATGAGTCCCATCGGGAAGAAGGTGCTGAGAGGACACTCCCAGGCCCGCAACCCCATTCAAGTGGACAGCTGGTGGCACGAGGACCTTCACACCGCGTGGCCCCTTCCAGCGTGTCTCTCCCCAACACTAGTCTCTGTTGGGTACCTCCTTCAGTCCGTTCCCTCACCTCCCACCTGGAGAAGGCATTCTGGGAAGCATTTCATAAAGTCCCAAGATCTGGGAAAGGCCCAACAGCTCTGCCCCTCTCCACTCCCATCTCCCCACCCCTTTCCGGCCGGACATCCCCACTCACTTTCCTCTTCTTGCTTCCCCATGTCTCCTCCATAGTCCAACTTCCTTTAGTCCATTGGCTTACATCCCCCGTGTCCTGGGCCCTCTCCTACCTCCTCCCCGCCTTTCTATCCACCTGTCTCCCGCTCAGGTCTTTGGGGCCTCATCCAGGTGCCCTCCTCCCTCTGCTGTCCACCCACCTGCCCCGTCCACCCACCGGCTGCCTGTCTCCAAACTCCTTTTGTTGCTCCCTCCCTTCAGTCCCCCCATTTTGTCCATCTTCCTTTCAATAAGTCATTGGGAACCCCCCCTATAATTCCCCCTCCACTTCCGTCCTCTCCCCTCCCCCCATCTCTCAGCGCCCCCTGCAGGCCCCCTCCACTTCCGTCCTCTCCCCTCCCCCCCATCTCTCCGCGCCCCCTGCAGGCCCCCTCCACTTCCGTCCTCTCCCCTCCCCGCCAAGCTCTCAGCGCCCCCTGCAGGCCCCCTCCACTTCCGTCCTCTCCCCTCCCCCCCAAGCTCTCAGCGCCCCCTGCAGGCCCCCTCCACTTCCGTCCTCCCCCTCCCCCCAGGACTCAGGTCCCCCTCCATTTCCCCTCCTCGCCCACCCCCTGGGTTCTGTCAGCGCTCTTGCTGGCCCCTTTATTTCTCCTCATCCTCACCCCACCTCCGCGTCTCAGGGTCCCCTTCCACCACCTCCTGGGCAGCACCCCCCGGCCCCGCCCCTTGCACCCAGCACCCATCCCCCACCCCCTGTGTCTCCCCCTGCGCCTGCGCACAGCAGCCCCGGCTCCTGCTCCCTCATCCTCCTGCCTCAGCGCCCGGCGGTGCCGCAGCCTCCTCCCCGCCGCAGCCTCCTCCGAGGCGGAGCTGCACCAAGGCCCCACCTCCCGCTGCTCCGGCCCCTGCACAGCACGTGCCGCTCCGCTTGTGGGCAGGCGGTGAGATGGCGGGAAGGCGGGAAGGCGGGGCGGACAGGGGAGGGGCCGGGCGGTATGGAGGGGCCGGACAGGGGAGGGGCCTGACCGGGGAGGAGCCGGGAATGGAGATGCACAAGCTTTGTCTGCCAAGTGTGTGTGGGCTCAAGGCTCCAGACCCAAAGCCCGGGTGGCTCAAACTGTGCTCTATCTGGAATTGTGCAATGGTGGGAAGCTTGCTCAGGCCCACCTTGCTTGTCCTAGGACCTGCATTTGCTGAAAACCTGCTCAAGCCCAATCTGTTGGTTCTAGAATGTTGTGAACAGATGCCAGCTGAGGATCAGCCTCTCCTAGGCCTCTGCTGAGTCAGCTTAGTCCTGATTCCTATGGGGCCTAAAGCCTTCTGAGGTCAGCCCCGCAGCCTGCTAGGGGCCAGACCTCAGGGCGCCCCACCAGACTGCTTGCTTCTTTCTCAAACAGGCCAAGTCGAAATGGCAAGGACGGAGGTCTATGGCCCTTCTAAGCAGTTCACCAAAATCAAAGAGCTAGAACTGGTCCCAGAAAAAGCCCAGGAGGAGGCGGCGGGCGGAGTGCGCAGAGCGAAGGAGACCCCAAGCCCCAGGGAAGCGGAGGCCGGGTGCACCTATGGGGCTCTCCTGGCCAAGATCTCCGAGGGCGGGCAGGAGCTGGTGCCCGCTGCCATGGAGGACGGCGGGACCCACATCCTGACCCTGCAGGCCGTGTACCCCCCCTTCGAGGACGGGGAGCTGCCGGAGGTCGGCCGTCAGGCGCCACAGCACCAGGAAGGGGTGCCGGTGATGATGCCGCCGGCCGGCAGTGGGCTGCCCTCGCTGCTGTGGGTCCGAGAGGGGGCCCAGCAGGGCCTGCACGAGTGCGTGGCCATCAGCATCCAGGACGAGGTGTACTCGCTGCAGGCGGTGGAGCCCGTGCAGTTCCACGTCCTGCAGGACGGCGTGGGCCTGGCCCCGGAGGACAGGGAGGGTGTGGAGAGCCTGCCCGGAAGCGCTGGGCTGATGCAGGTACGGCTGGTTGTAAAAAGCAAACCACTTTTCAGGTTGCCTTTTTTGTGCAGCATGGTGTATGGGCAAATTAAGCACACTAAGATAATTCCCAGAAAAATCCTGGAGACCACGTGCTCTTTTTTTTTTTTTTTTAAGAGTTTTTAAAAAGATTCACTAATTAGAAAGCTATCAGGTGACATTGTGGGGTCTTTTTTAAAAATAGTGTTGTTTTACCACCAAAACTCCTTGACTCTAATAATTACGTGTGAGCATTCTGGCTGCAACAGACAACCTTATAGGCTTCTTCGGTTTTCTCTTGCGTCGTGTGCTCCTTGGTGTCCTCAGGCAAAGAGCTGAACCCGGTTGCAGTTTGTGCGTCGTGTTTGCTTGAATGCTCGCTCTTATTTGTTAGCTTGAGACTAGTCGGGAGGAGGACCAGCTGCCAGCTGGAGGCGGCGTCCAGCAAGCGCCAGACCAGTTCTTCCTTGTGGAAGCGAGGCAGGGAGAGGACGTTGTTCTGGCCATTTCCAACTTAACCGGAGAGGACACAGAAGAGCATCTCGCCTCCAGTGAGCCACCTGTTGAAATAGCCAACTCTCCGAAAACTCAGCAAGAGACCAAGGGTAGGTGCGCTCATTGTGTGACAGACCCTTGCCTAAAAGTGGCTGCTGTTGAAGTTGTAAGGGGTTGACTTCGAGTTGCTTCCAGAAAAGTCAGGAAATGGGAGAAGTGTTAAACGGATGTTGTTTATTGTGCATCGAATCCAAGCGTTTTGCTCACAGATGTTTTAAAAGCGTAGAAAATGCTCCTGCGAAATGCTGCGCATGTACATAGAATGCTGGGCTCCCCGCCGGGGGGTGGTGTGGAGAAGGCAGCAGGGATGCCTCTGGGGGAGGGGGAGGTGAGGAAGAACTCAGAAACCACTCAGTGGGGACCACTGGTCCAGGCAGCAGGAAGTGGCCTGTGGGTGTGGCCTCAGAAGGAGACTGGATGGTGCTGGAAGAGGGAGGTCAGGCCAGATTAGGAGGGACCTTGAAGTTATGTTAAAACAGGTTGAGCCCTGGTGTGGCTCAGTGGTTAGAGCACCTGCCTGTGCGCTGAAGGGCTCTGGTTCCATTCCTGGTCAAGAGCACATGTACCTGGATTGCAGATTTGATCCCCAGACCCAGTTGGGAGGCAACCAGTCAAAGTCTTTCTTTCACACACCTCTCTCTCTCTCTCTCTCTCTCTCTCTCTCTCTCTCTCTCTCTCAAAATCAATGGAAAAAATATCCTTGGATGAGGATTAACAACAAATTTTAAAATATTGAGATTGAATCTTGACAGCCCACAGGATGAATTTGACCTTCAGAATTATTTTGGGGGCTTCTTTAAGAAATAACTTATTGTTTAAATTAAGAGTTCACCCTCCGACTCTCAAACTGAAGCTCATTTTTTTTGAAGTCCTATTTGGCAGCACGTGGCCCTGTCTCCTCCTGCAGCCGGTGGCGGGGCTGGGGAGTGCTTGGTTTAGGAAGTCACACCGCCGCCACTCATCCAGCGGTCCTGCCGCTGCTTCCCTCCGGAGGGTGAACTCGCAGCCCTCCCCGTGTAGTAGGTTCTCATTTATTTTAAACAAGAGATTGTGACCCCAAAACCCCAACTCCCAGCTCACTTCAGGTTCTTACTATAGTCATAAGTTTGTGCACCCGCGGCCACGGTCTCATCCCCGCATGCTTTCTTCACCCCCGAGAGAAACGGGAGCGCAAAGCGCCTTTCACAGAAGCGCAGACCGTGCCTCCTCCCCGCAGGAGGAGCGCAGGCCTTCCGCTGTGACCTGTGCCCGTTCACCACGGCCAAGGCGGCGAGCCTGAACCGTCACGTGAAAACCCACACCAGCGAGAAGCCGCACGTGTGCCACCTGTGCCTGAAGGCCTTCCGCACCGTCACGCTCCTGCGGAACCACGTCAACACCCACACAGGTGACGGGGGGCGGGGGGCGGGGCCCGCGACGTGTGTGGCGGCTTTCAGAGTGCCAGTGCAGCCTGTCCTGTGTTTTAAGATAACGTGTTGCTTTGGAGTTTAGTTTTGTCTTGTTTTCTGTCCTGTCAATTAAAAACATTGGCAGTGCCAAAACTGGTTTGGCTCAGTGGATAGAGCATTAGCCTGCAGACTGAAGGGTCCTGGGTTCGATTCCGGTCAAGGGCATGTACCTTGGTTGCGGGTGCATCCCCAGTAGGGGTTGTGCAAGAGGCAGCTGACTGATGTTTCTAGCTTTCTATCCCTCTCTCTTCCTCTCTGTAAAAACTCCATAAAATATATTTTAAAAATAAATAAAATAAAAACACTGGCAGAAAATATTTTTACAAAGATTTTTCTCGTCTCTGCCTGGCCTGTATAAGGTTTAGACGGCAAGCCTCTTCCTCCTATGTGGTGTGTTTTGAGGCTGGGTGTAACTCCTAAGGTGTCCATTTCCAAGGACACTGGTGGTAAAGTCTGTGATTTTACAGGAACCAGGCCCCACAAGTGCGGAGACTGCGACATGGCATTCGTCACCAGCGGGGAGCTCGTCCGGCACAGGCGTTACAAACACACCCACGAGAGGCCGTTTAAATGTCACTTGTGCAAGTACGCAGGCGTGGAAGTAAGTCCGCGCGCGTGCTTAAGGCTCGGCGGCGTCTAATTAAGAAGTTGCTGTAAATTATGTTACATTAAACTAACAGCAGAATCCCTTACACAGGAGGTTTTATTAAAGATATTACTCATACAACGTCTGTGCAGGAAATAATAGTCATTCAATTTTCTAAATTGAAAATAGAAAATTGGATTTCTTTCTGCTTTGATTACCTGTTAGCAAAAGCAATATATAAAAACGTACACATTGCAAATAGAACTGCGTGAGGTGCTTGGGAAATAAATCTCATATTAGGTTCAGAGCTCTCCCTCGCATCTGAGGGAGCCCTCGGGTCCACAGACGCGAATGTATCCGCTCCAGACAGACCCCAGATCCGGCTGCAGGGTGGCTGACACTCTTGCCTCAGTGGCTCTTGGTCAGATACAAAGCGACTTGCTTGAAGGTTTAAACATATCGTCCCCTGATACTACAGAGAAACTGGGTGCTTCAAACTTCAGGCCCGTGTCCCTGTCTTATCAACGAGGGCCTTTTGTTAGACTTTCCAGCAGGCTCAGCAGCTCGCTGGATGAGACTAACGAACATGACCGTTGCTTACACTGTCTGTTCCCCGAGGAATTTTGGGGGCCTGCACGGTCTGTGGGGCCGCCTGCGGGGCCTGGTGTTGAGCCTGGTTGGGAAAGGACACTGGGCTCCGGAGGGTAACGCAGTCAAAGGGCACGGCTAACGTTGACAGAGGGGAATGATGCAACCTCGCCTCGCACAGGAGGGAATTTCACCGACAGGGCCGGACTCTGATTCCAAGAACTTTTTCCTGCTAGTGCTATTTTTGAAAGTTCTTTCTCATCCGAGTTAAAGGTTGTAGCTTTAGTTTGAAAACACAGAAACGAAAGTTTCAAGGAACCGAGCCACCCGAGAGGCTCAAGCCCGGAGCGGACATTGGTTGGCGTCCTGAGGATTCTGAGCACAGACATCGGGGTCCACGGAAACCTGCTCTGGAGCCCACTGTCTGCACGCAGCCTGCGGGCTGGCCGGCCCAGCACACGTGGCCCCGTTTTATGAAGTTTTAAGTCTTGCCATGCTGGTCTGCTGTAAGCGGGGGTCCTAAGCTTCCTGCACCACCCCCACCCCCGGCCATTTCTCACACAGACCCCCTGGCAGGAATGCATCCCGCTGGGGTGCCCAAGACATCCTGTGAGAGCTCCGAGCTTCCCTCCCACACCCTCCCCTGCGAAGCCAAAGAGGAGGCTGACACATAGCTGCCTTTGATCATCCACAGCCTTCACCAGATCTTTCATGCTGTCACCTTAAAAATTCTTTTTGTCTCACTTTCTGATAACTTGAAGACATCTACTTTTCATCTGGGGAGGAAAAAAAAAACTCTCAAGTTTTTGGATCTAAGTCTTCCTTTGTTCTTGAATGTTCTTTGGGCTCCTGTGTGCGTGTCGCTTAGGGGCCGTGAGACCCGGAGGTCACAGGCGGGCGATGCGGGCTCCCTGACCTCGGTCACCCCGCCCTCTGTTCTGCCGACGAAGGTGGACAAGGCCCACAGGGAGGGGGTGCAGACGAAGGTGGTTCTGGGAGGTAACAGAACCACCCGGCAAAAATGATCAAACGGGAGGTGGCGGGTGGTCTGCCTTTTAACTGGTCGCCTGGAGTTATGCAATTAATCCAATTAGCATGTGTGTTCTTCCTCTTAGAAGTGGCTCGTTCTAAAGAAACTCCGGGCACAGGGAGCCATCTTTGATGGCCACATGGCTCCCTCAGAACCTGAGAAGTGCCTCAGCCAGGTGTCTGCCTCTCAGAGAGCAGATGTTTCAAAATTCTCACATTGTTTGTGCAAACAGGAGCGCCCGGCTCCATGCTCCTGCAGCGAGACCTAACCTCGGCCGCACACGTGTGTGTTAAGGTGACCAGATGTCCCACTTTTGGAGGAACAGTCCCGATTTTTAAAAAAATATATTTTATTGATTTTTTTACAGAGAGGAAGAGAGGTAGAAACATCGATGAGAGAGAATCATCGATCAGCTGCCTCTTGCACACCCCCTACTGGGGATGTGCCTGCAACCAAGATACATGCCCTTGACAGGAATCGAACCTGGGACCTTTCAGTCCGCAGACCGACGCTCTACCACTGAGCCAACCGGTTTCAGCGACAGTCCCGATTTTTAACAATTTGTCCCGCGTCCCGCAGCATTTTAAAACAGTCCCGATTTTTGGAAAATAATCGGGACTGTTTTAAAATGCCGCGGGACGAAATGTTAGAAATCGGGACTGTCCCGCCCAAAGCGGGACATCTGGTCACCTTAGTGTAAGTGGCCCTGGGAATGGAAGTCAAGCCCGGGTGGCCGAGCGGCCAGCTTGCAGTCTGCCCTGCGGATCGTGACGTGGAACCCAAGAGTCTCTGGAAACCACGGCCGGTTTCTCCCGAAGGGTCTCATACGCACGTCAAGTGACAAACAGGAGATAAAAAGTAATGACCCCTTCGCGTTTCTCAGGGCACGCAGTAGGGTCTGAGGTTAACATGCCAGTCTCTCTCTAGAACGCCGACAGGCTGGGTCTAACATTCTCTGGTTTCTCTTGCAAACGAGTGCCTCCCGTGTGTTTCTCAGGCGAGTAAGCTGAAGCGCCACATCCGGTCCCACACAGGGGAGCGTCCCTACCAGTGCCTCCTCTGCAGCTACGCCAGCAAGGACACCCACAAGCTGAAGCGACACATGAGGACGCACTCGGGTAAGAGTGGCTCATGTCAAAACCGGTTTGGCTCAGTGGATAGAGCGTCGGCCTGTGGACTGTAAAGGTCTCAGCATGGAGGGGGTGTGCAAGAGGCAGCTGATGGATGATTCTCTCTCATCGATGTTTCTAACTCTCTATTCTTCTCTATTCCTCTCTGTAAAAAAAAATCGATAAAATATATATTTTTAAAAAGAGTGGCTCGCGCTGGAGGCCACTGCGTAAAGCACCGTCTCCTTTCAGAAGGGAGCTGGTGAAACCTATACTTCCAGTGCCAGCATCAGAGCGAGTGTCTCCGGCCTTCTCGGCTGAGACCTCGCTCTGTGCCGTTGTGTTTTATGCGGCGTCCGGGAGCCCACGTAAGCGCTGGGCCGTCACGCCGCTGTGACAGAGAAGACACCATGGAGTATTGGCTGCCACTGGTTGCTCAGGGTTTAAAAGTCAGCTCCTAATGCATCGTCAACCTGGAAGCACATAAAACCTGGCGCTGGTCCCCTGACTTCATATTCCTGTATAATAAGGTGCCCAGACGTCCCGCTTTTGGCGGGACAGTCCCGATTTTTAACAATTTGTCTCACGTTCCATGACGTTTTAAAAAAGCCCCGATTCTTTAAATAATCGGGACTTTTTAAAAAATGCCTTGGGGCTGTCCCACCAAAAGCAGGATGTCTGGGCACCTTAGTGTATATGCAGCATGCTTACACGTGCTTCTCAGTTCCTTACGCTGAGGATGGGAACCAGAGGGCGGTTCGGACGCGGCTTGGGAATGTTGTGCTAATTGGGGGTGACCATAGGAGAAAGGGGTTGAAGAAGGAGCTCGGGGAACAAAAGACAAGCTTTCAGCTCCGTGTCCTTTGGGGAGGACGAGGCCGTCGGGGTGAGGCCCCTCTGCAGACGGTCGTCTTCGTTGCCATCCTATAGGCGAGAAGCCCTACGAATGCCACGTGTGCCACGCGCGCTTCACCCAGAGCGGCACCATGAAGATGCACATCGCGCAGAAGCACAGCGAGAACGCCCCCAAGTACGAGTGTCCGCACTGTGCCGCCCTCATCGCGAGGAAGAGCGACCTGCGTGAGCGTTTGAGCTGAGGACCTTCCTTCTGCAGGGGAACCTGTGGTGCCCTGGGCCTGATTCTGAGGCGGCAGCTGGGCTGCAGGAGCCAGTCTGGAACCTGTTTTTTCCAGCGGTCCTGTGGTGCCATCTGGTGGCTGGTTTGCATAAGTGCAGCTTCATGGTATTTCGGTTGTAGAAGGAAAGGATGCTCCTGGCATCCAGTGGGCAGAGGCCAGGGGTGCTGGCTGCTGGAGGTCCCACACGGGACGGTCCCCCCTCCGTGGGCTCACATGCTGAGAGGGAGGAGCCCCGGCCTAGGTCAGCCTCCCAGGAGATCACACCCCCATACTCAATGTTCTGTAACCATTTTAGGGGTCCACGTGCGCAACCTGCACACGTACAAAGCCACGGAGATGGAGTGCCGCTACTGTCCCGCCGTCTTCCATGAGCGCTACGGCCTCCTCCAGCACCAGAAGACGCACCGGGGCGAGAAGAAGTTCAAGTGTGAGCAGTGCAGCTACACCTGCAAGCAGGTACTGAGTTCCCATCCGTTTGGGGACGGGGTGGGAGGCCACGGGAGGAGGCAGGGCTGGAGCGGGGCTTCCTGTCACTTTGAAGATGCTGGAAAAAGAAGTGCTTTTATAAAAAGGCTATTGGAAATAACCAAAAGGCAGCCATGAGCCGGTGCATTAAAGCAACAGTTTGTAAAGTGTGGGTCATAGGCCCCTAGAGGTCCTTGAAACCAATCAGGGCCATGAGATCAAACTGTTTATCATTGATTGTCCTGGCAGGTGGGTCTGCTAGTTCCCATACACCAAAAAGGTTGTGGGTTTGATTCCAAGTCAGGGCACATACCTAACTTGCGGGTTTGATCCACCATCAAAGTGCATATGGAAAGCAACCGATCGATGTTTCTCTCTCACATTGATATTTCTCTCCCCCCGCCCTCTTTTTCTCTCCCCCTCTTCCTCTCCCTTTCCCTCTCTTTCTCTCCCTCTTTTTCTTTCTCTCCATTCCTCTCTTTCTAACAATCAATAAAAACATGCCCTTGGATAAGGATTTTTAAAAATATTGTCCTTCAATAAGGAATTAATGCCAATATGCCCTTTGCTGCACGGCATTGGCAGTGGTTGTGCAAAAGCCGGGGAGGCGCCTCATACAAAGCAAAGCAGTGCCGTCAGCACGTGCTCTCACCTCCGTGCACTGGGAGCAAAGGAAAGGCGGGGCGGGGCGGCTTTGCATCCTAATGTCCTTGGGGAGGCAGCACAGCTCTGAGCTGTGTTCAGTCTGGACCCCGACTGTGCGGGTGACGAGCCGGGGGTTGGTAGGAAGCCGCTTTCCCCTCTGAGGCAGGACAGAGTCTGGAGGGCATTGCCTGTGGGGCTGCCAGAGTTGCCAGCTCAACTGGCCACTTTTCTAGTTTTACTTGCAAGGGCAAGCGACAGACTCTGCTTATTCAGTTCCTGGGCATTTAACAATACCAATACCTCCTTCTGGGAGGTGAACGGAACAGGCACATCACTTCAGAGGAATATTGTGGCCAAGGACGCATCAGCTTTTAAGAGGGAATTGGAATTAGAATTTTGTGGAACTTATATCCAAAGATGGTTGTGACTTTAAGAAAGCAACTTTGTATATGGAATGATGAAATGTGTTAGCATTCAGAAGCTCTTCGTAACTCAGACTGGTTTTTCCCCAAACAACCAATCTATTATTTTACAAAACGAGGGCTAGGTAAAGAGTCCGCTCAAAGGATAAGATCAACAGAGTTAAATGTGACAGAGAACAAAAAGTTTCTGAGGTGGTTTCAGATTCCATGTTCTAGCAAATTTTTAAGAAATAACACTTTTTGAGTTTTGGTGTAATATCAAAATGAGAATGTCGACAATTATTTGAAAAGGCTATTAAAATTCTGTCCCTTTCCCAGCTACCTGTCTGTAAGAATAGATTTCCTTCATCTATTAGTATCTCAACCACAACACCCCTCGGCTGGCTGGAGGCAGAAGCAGAGATGAGAACCAGGCTGTCTTCTTTTAAATTTGAATTTCAGATAAACAAGTACTTGTGTTTATAAGCATGTCCCAAGTGGTAACTGGCAACCCTCTCTGCTAAGCCAGATACTCATTTTTGTTTTGAAAAAAAAAATGTAATATGTGTTTATAGAAATATGTTAAAGTGTAGTTGGTTTATTGTTCTTTTTTCAAAGAATAGATAGCTATTTTCATATTTTAATTCCTCAGTTTTGATTTCTAATATAGTCAGTATTAATAATTTTGGGGGTTATTACTGAAGTTTAAGAGTAAAAGGGGTCCTAAGACCAGAAGTGTGAGAACTGCCCTGGCCAGTGTGGCCCACTTGGTTGGAGCATTGTGCTGTACACCGAAGGGTTCGAGTCCCAGTCAGGGCACATCCCCAGGGTACAGTTTCGATCCCTGTTCGGGGTGCACTGTCAATGTTTTCCTTTCACATCAATGTTTCTCTCCCTCTCCCTTCCTATCTTTCTAACATCAAACATTCCCTTGAATGAGGATTTTTTTAAAAGGCATGAGCCACTTGGATTTGGATACTTTGTTAGGAAAGATGGGAGTCAGTGCTTACTGTGTTTCAAAGTGGGAGCTGTAAACGGTAAATGCTTTGAGTAAAGAAAAGAAAGTTTTTTGTTTGTTTTTTTAGTAAACTTTGAACATTGTAATATCCTAAGCCCAGGCTCAGTTTTTTAAAAACGAACTAGGAGAATTTCCTGGAAGATGGATAAGACTTGGAGGGAGGAGGAGGGGGTCCCCAGGAGGGTCAAGCAGAGGGCAGACGGGACCTTGAGCTGGGACACTGCTGGGAGCTCTGAGGGCGTTGGTTCTGGAGAGCCAGGCTCCGGGTGGGACGGTGACTCCGGGGGGAGACGGAGCTGGTCCTGGAGGAGAGGCGAGGCAGGGGAACGGCGGAGGGTGTCCGGAGAGAGAAACTGCAAGAAAGACTGTCCGTAGGCAGTTAACCCGAGTGCGGAAGTGCTCATGCATGTCATCTGAATCATGGCATTTTAACCCTGGCCGGTTCAGCCCAGGGCATAGAGTGTCCGCCTGCAGACCAAAGGGTCCCAGGTTCGATTCTGGTCAAGGGTGCATAACCTGGTTGCAGGCTCCTGGCTCCTGCCCAGCCTGGGCCCTGTTGTGCAGGAGGCAACCAGTAGACACCACATCGATGTTTCTCTCTGTCTCTCCCTCTCTCCTCCTCTCCCTATAAATCAATGGGAAAATATCCTCAGGTGAGGATTCAAACAAACAAACGAAAAAGAGTCATAGCGTTTTAAATCAAGCAAATGCAATGTGTATTTTTGTTTGATTTTATATATTTTTTTGTCCTGATTCTCCCGAAATTCTTTGCTCATATAAATCTTGGTTAAAAGTTCTACTGCTTCTTTGCTGAGAACAGTCCTTGGCACGGGATGCTTTCAGTTCGATGGCAGGTTTGTTATCCTTCCTTCGGGAAGCAGAGGGAAGCGTAAGCCTCGTTTGCTTAAGCTCTCACTCTGTTCAGTTCGCGGTTCTGTCCGCCCCGCGTAAACACAGTTCACGGGTCTGCAAACACGTGAGCTCTTGGAGGGAAAGTGGTGTGTCCTCGAACCCGGGCCTGCGGGAGCGCTGGGCCTCCGTGATCTTTCCCTGCAGTGCGCCCACCTTTGGGGAGGAAGAAATATACGATAGTATGTCCGACACAGGGCACCCCTGTAAGGAGCTGAGCCTGTCTCCCCCCCCCTCCAGGGGCGCCACATGGCGGCGCACACCCGGACCCACGCCGGAGAGGAGCCCTTCGCCTGCCCGGCCTGCGGCCAGCGCTTCCAGAAGGAGGAGCAGCTGGGTGCCCACGCCGGGAAGTGCCAGGCTGCCGCCCTGCCCCCCAGCGGGCACGAGTGCCCCACGTGTGGGAGAGGCTTCTCGCGCTGGGTAAGCCCCCATCCGTCTCCTGGAAGGACCCCTCCCTCCCGCACAGCGCCCCTCCGGGCGGGCGGAGACCCAGTTACGGAGGCAGGCGCGCCTCTGCGCGTGGGAGGTGTTAGCGGCCACAGGACCCCTGAAATCTCATCAGTGCGCGCTCTCCTTCTCCGAGAGAAGACAGTCCTGCAGACAAAGCTGTGCAAACGCGTTTAGGGATTCCCAGACCCACAGCAGTCCAGGGAGAATCCCTAGTTTCAGGGTAACTCTTAAAATTGTTCCTGTGAATTCGATTTGGGCTTCTTCACAGAGAGAAAGCAATTTTCTAAATGTTTCACAGATGGCATATATACATTTTATTGATTTCAGAGAGGAAGGGAGAAAGAAAGGGATATAGAAACATCAGTGATGACAGAGAACCATTGATTGGCTGCCTCCCACAGCCCCCCTCTGGGGGTCAAGCCACAACCCAGGTATGTGCCCTTGGCGGGAATCAAATCCAGGCCCCTTCAGTCCGCAGGCCGACGCTCTCTCCACTGAGCCAAACCGGCCAGGGGTCACAGATGATCTTAACAGAGTGCTATTGGTGCCGTGCTAAGCACACTATTTACCCTCCCGCTTTATTATCTGGGGGTGTTGTGCTTGTTTTCTATTTTCGGACTAACAAATTGCCTCACGCTGCTGGGCTTAAGCACCAAACGTGTGGCCTCAGGTCCCGGGGCCCACTCTCGGCTGGTGGCTCTGGCTCCCGGCCCCTGAGGCTGCCTCAGGGTGTGGGCGGGGTTGTGCCCTCTGAAGGTGGCCCTGGCTGGGAGCCACTCTGTGGGGTGGGCACCGGCCTGGGTTCCTGGCACTCAGGCCTCTCGATTGGACAGCTCCAGCGTGCAAGGAGGAAGCCACCGAGCCTTTTGTCACCTGGTTTTAAAAGTGACAACATCACTTCAGTTCATTAGAAACGAACCACTGAGTTCAGCCCACACTCAAAGGCGGGGCATGAGGCCCTTTGGAAAGGAAGAGTGTCCACACACACACACAACACACACAACACACACACACAACACACACACACACACACACACAACACACACATACACATACACACACCACACAACACACAACACACACACACACACACACACACACACACATACACACACAATACACACACATACACACACAACACACACAACACACACATACACACACAATACACACACCGCACACAACACTCACACATACACACACACAACACAGACAGACAGACATACAACACACACACAACACACATACACACACACACACACACACACACACACACGATGAGCTAGGTCCTGAGATGATGGCTGCTCCACGCTAACTTTACAAAAGTTTTGAGTTATCTGAAGTTGACTTTTTATGGGGAAAACTTTATTTTCTCTTGAAAGGTAGGGTCGTTGTGCGCTCTGGTAGGGAGCATAGTGGGATGATTCTGGAGTGTTGATGCCAGTAGTTCAAAATGTCAAAAGTCATGGCAGCGCTCCAGGAAGGAGCATTCCTATGGGGTGAACATTGAGTGGAGCGCCCTCTGGTGAGAGAAGCCGAAAGCGGAGGACAGAATGAATTGGCCTCATAGTGGGATCAGAAGCTTTGAAACTTTGTCTTTCATTCAAAAAGGAAGGTATTTGGATTTACATCTGGAATATATTAAAAAAACAAACAAACAAAAAAACCTCTTACAACTTAATAACAACAAAAAGTCAGGTAACCAATTAAAAACAGGAAAATTATCTAAACACACACTTCTCCAAAGCTCATGAGAGATGCGCGGCATCATTAGTTACCAGGGAAATTTGAATCAGCATCACCCTCGAGCCTGCTGTGTGACAGCTACAATTAAGGAAGACATAGTGGCCCTAGCCTATTTGCCTCTGTGGATAGAGCGTTGGCCTGCAGACCAAAGGGTCCCGGGTTCAATTCTGACCAAGGGCAAGTACCTGGGTTGCAGGCTCCTCCCCGGCCCAGACCCTGGTCAGGGCGCAGGCAGGAGGCAACCAATTGATGTGTTTCTCTCACATGAATGTTTCCCTTTGTCTTTCCCTCCTTCTCCCACTTTCCCTAAAACATCAATTGGAAAAGACCCTCCAGTGCCAGGATTAACTAATTAACAAAAGACGCCGTGAAAGAGCGGGAAAGAGCTCCGAGGCTGCTGGTGCCCAGTGGCTAGGCCATCGGCCCACACGCCAAAGGGTCGTGGGCTTGGTTCCCGGTTAAGAGCATGTATCCCACATGTATCTCTTTCACACTGATGTCTCTCTCTCTTCCCCTGCTCTCCCTCCAACCCCTGCTCTCTCTTCCCCTCCCTTCCTTCTACTCTCTCTAAAGATCAATGGGAAAGTATACTCTAATGAGGATTAACAGATAAATAAATAAAATTAAAATAAGCTCAAAGGTTAAATGTCCACCCCTGAACCAGGAGGTCGTGGTTCCATTCCCAGTCAGGGCACAAGCCCAGGTTGTGGGCTCGAGCTTCAGCAGGGGATCCAATGATTCTCTCTCATCGCTGAAGTTTCCATCTCTCTCTCCCTCTCTCTGAAATCAATAAAAACATTTTTTTTTTAAAGCATTGCTGGCGGGAACGCAAAATGACATAGACACTTTGTAAGACACTTTGCCGTTTCTTACGAAACTGAACCTATTTTTGCCACACAATACCAGAAACCACAATGCTTGGTATTTACCCAAAGGAGTTGGAAGCCTGTGTCCACAGGAAGACCTACTGTGTAGCAGTTTCATTCATAATAGCCACAACTTGGCAGCTTCGGTAGATGATCGGGCACGTAAGCTGTGGCCATCCGGGCAATGGGGTATTGCCCAGCACTGAAAAGAAGTGAGCAGCCCAGGCCATGGAGAGATGGGAACCTTTTAAAAAGCTTTTTCTGCTGTTGCTTTTTTAAAAATACGTTTTTATTTATTTCAGAGAGAGGAAGGGAGAGAGGGATAGAAACATCAACGAGAGGAAAACATTGATCAGCTGCCTCCTGTACATCCGCTACCGAGGACTGAGCCCACCACCTGGGAATCGAACCGTGACCTCCTGGTTCATAGACTGACGTTCAGCTACTGAGCCATACCAGCCGGGCGACGTGGGAGAATCTTAAATGCACATTATTAAGGGAAAGAAGTCAATCTGAAAAGCTATGTACCGTTTAATTCCAACTACTATATGACATTCTGGAAAAGGCAAAATTCTGAAGACAGGAAAAGACCAGTGATTTTCAGGAGTGGGAGAGGGAGGGATGAATGGACGAAGCACAGAGGGTTTTTAGGGCCATGAAACTACTCCGTATGACACATGATGGACACGTGTCATTATACATCTGTCCAAACCCACAGCACATACACCACCAGGCGTGAACGCTGAGCTAATCTGAGGACTTTGAGTGATGCAGACGTGTCAGTGTAGGTTCATGAGTTATAACAAATGTGCCGTCAGGCGGGGTGGTGACAGCGGGGGAAGGTGTGCAGAGGTGGGCCGCGGTATGTGAAGAATCCCCATCTTCCCCACATCAGTCGGTTGCCTTCCGCACCCACCCAGACTGGGGACCAAACTCACAACCCGGGAATGTGCCCTGACTGGGAGTCGAACCCGCCCCCCTTCAGGGCGCAGGACAACTGTCAGCCAGCTGAGTCACACCAGCCCGGCAGCACGCTTGTGTGCTTTACACACAGCAGCCCCCGGACGTCACCGGCCAGGTCCCCTTCCTCCCGAGGACCCTGCTGGGGACTGGGACGCGGGGTCCTCAGGAGGAGGACCTCAGTTCTCTCCGGCACCGTGTTCCTCACATCACGTCACCTCGGCCCCTGAGTCCTACAGAGCCTGGGTGTCCCGAGGGTTACCCCACCTGCTTCTGGAAGGCTGGTGTGCTTTCGTTTGACTTCTTTGTTCATTCAGAACTGACATGAGACGTTCCCTTTTTAAAAAAATATATTTTATTGATTTTTTACAGAGAGGAAGGGAGAGGGATAGAGAGCTAGAAACATTGATGGGGGAGAAATATCGACCAGCTGCCTCCTGCACACGCCCTACCAGGGATGTGCCTGCAGCCAGTGTACATGCCCTTGACCGGAATTGAACCAGGGACCCTTCAGTCCGCAGGCTGAGGCTCTATTCACTGAGCCATACGGGTTTTGGCACATGAGACGTTCTTAACCACGAGTGTGCTGGGGCTGTAGGGAGAGATTGGTGTGGACATGTCTGCACTTCTCTGGGGAAGGAACCATTGCCCTCTATCCTCAGTGGCATCCTCCACCTTAGAGGCTTCCGGTGCCCACCACCGTGCCAACCAGGACTGGCAGGCTTTTCCGTGAAGGGCCAGCTCCTCAGACCAGACAGGTCCTCTCCTCCCCGACGGCTCACGTCTGAGGTTAAAGCATGAGCACCGCCGGAGGTGGAGGCTCCCAAAGGAAGGGCGGTGGCTTGGCCCAGAGCACTCGCTGGACAGAAGCCTCTGGCCAGCCAGGCTGCCCGCGGCCACAGGCGCCAGCCCCCTGTGCATGAATGCCAAATGGGAGTTTCTCTAACCCATAACCTCCCCCCTCTGTTATATGCGAACCCCCTTCTGCCGCCCGTAAGCCCAGGAAGCCCCGTCCTGAAGTCAAAATGGGAATTTAATGTGGTTGGCAAATCTAATGGCGTGTCACCGGTACCTTCCATTAGCCTGTGGGCTTTCCAGAGAGGGAACGTTCTCTGCCTTATTTCACATCCTCCTCCGAGTCCCTCCCTGCGGATCTGTCGCGGAGGCTCCACCGGGCCCCGAGCCGCCCACCGTAACCTGATTGCCGTCCTCGGCGTTCATCACTCAGCGGGCGGCGAGGCGCTGGCAGGGCCGGATGGCTCCGCTCTGTTATTGGTTTCCATAAAACCGGCCACTAGATTGAATTTCAGGTTTAATATCCGGCCTCACCTTGGAGAGTAGACGCACTCTAGGAAAGTACGCTCTGACTTCTGTCACAAAGAACTCCCTAACACGCCCCCGCCTGCAGCTAGACCCACCCGCGCCAGCGAGGCCACCCTCACCGCGTCACCCTTTGGCGCCCGCCGCCTTGTCCACCTGGCCCCCGGCGCGTCCTGGGCCGCGTTCCTCCGGGCGCTCAGCCTGTCTGTGTCGTCTGTGTCGCTTCCCGCAGACCAACATGCGGAGACACGCGGAGAAGTGCGCGGCGGCCGGAGCGGGAGGATGGACCGCGGCGCGGACCCGGGCGGCCCCGGAGGAGGAAGACGGTACCTCCTTTAAACCTATCGGGTTTGAGTTGGCCCCTGTGTTCTCGCTGCGTTTCCCCGGGTGGCGGGGTGGGTGTTCTGCGGGGAGCGCACCCAGGAGCCCTGAGGACCAGGCCCCGAGGGCGCCCGGCCACGTGGGGCGGGTCTGGCACTCCATCTGGCCGTGTGGCCATGGGCGGAGCAGCCCGGTCACCTACCCCTCTCAGGGCTGCAGGGAGGCCAGAGTAGGGAAGTGACTGGGGATCCCTGGAGAGGGGGTCCACACCCCCCACCACATGGGTTCCGGGGGGGCTGGATGACAGCCACACATGCCCACTGCCCTCCTGTCCCTGAAGCTCCCACAGCAGAGCCCTGGGTTGCTGGGCGCTGTGTTCGCACCCGAGATGCTGCAATAATGACTGCACATTGGGGGCTTGGACCAGGGAGGTCTGGCCCCCCGCAGTCTGGAGCCAGACATCCTGAATCCAGGCGTGGCCGGCCCTGTTCTCTCCGGAGGCCACAGGGGAGGAGCCTCCTGCCTCTTTCAGCTGCTGGCGGCCCCAGCGTTCCCTGGCTCTTGGCTGCTCCCCCAGGCTGTCGTCACATGACCTCTCTGTCCGCTTTACCTTTTCTGTCTCTTATACAGCCCCTCGTCGCAGCTTAGGGTCTGCCTGGGAAACTGACATGATCTCATCCCGAGATCCCTAATTACATCTCTAAGGACCCTTATTTCAAAAAGGTCACACTCAGGTCAGGTGTCAGGGTGTGGACACAGCTTCTGCGGGGGGAGGCAGGGGGCAAGGATTTAACCCACGGCAGGTACACTAGGTGAAGTCCAGCAGCAAGACCAGGCCTCCCGGGCGGGGCCGAGAGGGAGGGATCTGAAGACATCGGGAGAGACGCGTGGCTCCACCTCAATGCCCGGCGTTTCGGTTAAAGCCCCACAGCAGGGACCATCAGTGGAGCTGAGGCTGGGAAACTCTGGCAGAGGCAGAGCTGAGAGCAGACTGATCGTCCTGTCCCGTCCACAGAAAAATGGCTTTCTGAAAAGCGTGCTGCTGGGCTAAACATCAAACCATTGTTTCCAAAATACATGTGCACTGACTTCGTGGCTTTCTTTTAAATTTGTCAACCCTGTGTCTTTCTCCCTCTTCCCCATCCCCCCCAGAAGCCGCTGCCGGGGAGGCCAAGGAGGCCTCCGTGGTGAGGGGAGACCAGTACCCAGGAGAGATGAGTCCTGTCCACTCCGGGGGAGCTGGACTCCTGGACCTGGACGGAGACCTGACCTGCGAGATGGTCCTCAAGATGCTGAATGAGTGAGCACGCGGGTTAGGAGTGCTTGGCGTCCTCTTTGAAACAATGAAATTTGTGACACTGATAGTCATAGTTTCTTCCAAAGCTGCACGCAGTGCCTAGAATTATTTGCCTGTGTTTCACTGAATGTTTACAAAATTAAAACAAAAAAAACATGGCAGGTATTTTATAAGAGGCCAACATCTTGAATTGAGGGATAAAATCCCAAACCCATGAATTCATTCACTAGATTTTGGTGAAAATAGCCCAGGACTAGTGAGCAATGAGTTTTGAACAATGCCTGTTCTGTCGAGGCACAGGCTATGGAGTGCTCTGGCCAACAGCCAAAGCTGGCAAACGTGCCCGTGTTAGTTCTAGTATTACAGTTTTTAAACATAAAATATTAATTTTATAACCTTTTTTGTTCAAATGAATTTTGCATAAAATTTAAAACCATCATAATACTTTTAATGAGTTCTAGATTGATTCAACACGAAGAGCCTTAATATTACACACACAAAAAATTAAGTAGGAAATGAAAAACTCTAAATTAGACTAGAAAATAATGCTTAACCTATTTCGCCCTGGTGTCTGAGCAAAGTCTGCATACAGATTTCCTTGTGCTCTCTAAACTGTGTCCTCTGGCTACAGGAAATCACCCTGGTCACTTCCAATTTCTGCAGATCAGCATACCCGTCCATCTCCCTTTGTTCTGCTAAAACCACTCTATACTTTCAAAATAATTGGCAGAGAAAAAACAAAATCCCAGTGGTGAAAATGTGTACTCGAAAAGAATTTGTGCTTTTTCAGAAGCCCCTGTAAACAACGAGCCTTTCTCAGCTGAGAACTTCCTGTCTCCAAACAGCATCTGAAAGGCCCAGAATTAAAGTCAACTACAATAGTTCCTGTCTTTATAATAAGTCACTTTTTTTTTTTTCCTGAGCTCAGCACTTGCTTTTGCTGTGAAATTTTCTCCCTAGAGTTTAAAATCAATGATGGGTCCTAAATGCAAATTCTCTCTTTTTCCTTAGTTTAATTGAGGTCTAACTGACAAACATGTAAGATGTTGATGAGTACATCACCGTGATGTGATATACGTGTACATCACCGTGACTGCATTGTGGAAGAACCGCTCCCATCTTGTTAGCTCAGTTCCAATTCTTAAAATGCTGATCTGTTGTTAAAAACACCCCGGTCAGAAGCACTGGACAAGGTGAGCATGTGGAAGGGCATTAATTCTCTTCGTAACAACAAACCATTGAAGTCACTGAGTGAGACATCGTCTGTGGTCGGTTATATGCTACCATGCTGACTATTTGAACTTTTGTAATCGTTTCTTACTTTTTTACTATTTGTTTAAAGATATTTTGCATAACTCAATAAAATGACTTAAAGGTGTCTTTGTTATAAAGCGTGCGTGGTGATTCTAAAAATGTCCCCCTCCCTGCCTCCCATGAAGACGTGGGGAAATTGAAACGCTTGTGCACTGTTGGTGGGAATGTAAAATGGTGCAGCCCCTCCCTATGGAATACAGTAGGGCAGTTCTTCAAAAACATTGCAAATAAAACCACCCTATGATCCAGCAATTTGGGTGTACACCTAAAAGAATTGAAAGGGGCCTTGAAGGGATATTTGCACACCCACAGTCATGGCAGCACTAGTCACAATAGCCAATAGTGGAAGCCACTAGTTATCATGATGGATGGATGGATGGATGGATGGATGGATGGGTGGATGGATGGATGGATAAATAAATAAACGTGGTCCATCCATACAATGGGATAGTACTCAGCCTCAAAAAGGAAGGAAACTCTGACAGCTGCTGCCACACGCATGGGCCTTGAGGACATTACGTAAGCCAGACACAAAAAGACAAACACTGCGTGATTCCACCTATGTGCGGGGCCCAGGCAGTCAAATTCCTGGAGACAGGGAGGATGTGGGTGCGGGGCTGGGGCATGCAGAGTTAGTGTGTAATAGTGCAGAGCTTCCGTCTGCGAAGGGGAATGAGTTCTGGAGAGGATGCTTGTGATGGCTGCACAACAGTGTGAATGTTTCCTAATGCTGTTGAACTGTCCACCCATAGTGAAAATAGCAAATTTTATGTTGTGTATTTTACTACAATTAAACATTTTTAAATGTAAAGAGAACAGATAAACATGTTTAGCCCTGGCTGGGTTGCTCAGTGAATAGAGCATCAACCTGCAGACTGAAGAGTCTCGGGTTCCGTTCTGGTCAAGGGCATGTACCTCGGTTGCGATCCCTGTCCTCCACTCCTGGTGTGGGGGGCAGCCGATCGCTGTGTCCCTCTCTCTGTCTCTCCCCCTCCCTTCCACTCTCTAAAACTCACTGGGAAAGTATTCTTGGATGAGGATTAACAACCAAAAAGTTTATGATCACTAAGGAGTCTTAAATAATCTATAAATAACTTTCAAATTTCAAATAAGTTAACATTTTTAGAAATGAAGGTGCTCTGCTAAGTCATGAATTTACCTAAATTTTTGTTACATTTTCCTAAAATACTTGTGATTATGTAAAATCTTGATGTTTGTCAGGGGTATTGCTGTTCTACAAGGAAATCCAAAACATGTCTGAAACTTCAAGCCCCGTTGGTATCTAACAGCATCAATACCTGCTCATAAACAGTCCTTTGTGAGTAACTTGCAGTGTTTTGCATGTGTAACACCTGATGGCATGTGATGTGGAATGAAACTCAGAGGGCGGGCTTTGGTTCTGTTATGTGTCCGGACTCCCACCAAACGCCTGCGAAAAAGGAGAAACTCATTTGTTCCTCAAGTGCAGTGACTATTAGTGCATCCGATTTCTGTGGCGCAGCAATGACATCAGTCCCCACAAGAGGGCAGTCGTGTCTTCCCTCCATGCTCCCTGCCTGCCGGCCCTCCTCCCCAGCCATGGAGACAGAACTTCAGCTGCTGATGGCTGACAGGCATGGCACAGCTTTAACAAACGCTCCCATGCTGGCTTGACCAATTCCGCATCCTAGAGAACAATGATGCACGGTCTGTCCTGGTTAGTCACAGGAGAGTGTACTGCACTTGACTTTGCTACCTACCTAAACTGTGTTCTCTGGCTACAGGAAATCGCCCCGGTTACTTCCCATTACTGCAGATCAGCAGACCAGTTCATCACCCTTTTTTGAAGAAAGGGGCCTGGACTAAACCTGGAGGAGAGGATGGTATGGGGGCGCGGAGCTTAGACGCGAGGGGACTGAGCCCCCTTCGGAACGCTTCAGCTTAAAATACAGTAGCTTCCCGGCCCACAGGAAGCCGCTCTGGAATGTATACCTCTTGCACAATTCAACGTCTCTGTTAAATTACAACCCTGTTTGACAACAGTTTTACTACGTAAAGATGCTCTTTAAACAAACCTAGGCCCTGGCTGAAGCTGCATTGCTGTAGTCGGCCCCTGACGGGGCCGCTCCCAGCGGAGGTTAGTCCTGGGGAACTAACCTAAGGTGACCAGGTGTCCCGCTTTTGGCGGGACAGTCCCGATTTTTAACAATTTGTCCCGCGTCCCAATTTTTCCAAAAAGCGGGACCTCTGGTTACCTTAAACTAACCAGAACAGTTTATATGGTAAAGCCGACAGCCTACTACTCGCCGTGGCGGAAGTTCGCAGGTGCGTTTCCAACATCCCTGCGGTGTTTCTGATAACCGTGAATAACCCCATGGGTGCTTCATGTATGCGGTATGCCTCTGTCACTAGCGGGCAGTGTTATTCATACTTAAACATGCTGAATCAAAGCCGTAGGACATTTGGCTTAACCAGCCAAGTTCACGTACATTTTGCTGATCCTCTCACTGCAGTTCACTTTTTTTAATCCTCACTGAGGATATTTTTTCCCGTTGATGTTTAGAGAAAGTGGAAGGGAGGGAGGGAAGGAGAGAGAGAAACACCGATGTGAGAGAGACACATCGATCGATCGCCTCCCACACGTACCCCAGCTGGGACCAGGATCAAACCTGGGACCCGGGTATGTGCCCTTGACTGGGGATCGAACCCAGGACCCTTTGGTGGGCCAGCCAATGCTTTAACCCACATGTGTCAAACACAAGGCCCGCGGGCCAAATCCGTCCCGCCAGGCCTTGCAATGTGGCCCGCACAGCGCTGTCATCACTGCACTCTGCTGCGTTTCCATCACAATGACAGTTTATGACTGTTCAGTAAACCATTCGGCCCGCGATTTAGGCTGGATTTTAGATTTTGGCCCCTTCTCTGATTGAGTTCGACACCCCTTACCACTCAGTCACAGTGGCCAGGGCAGATTGCAGTTTGTTTTTAATTGAGTATATCTGATAAGACAGATGTTAAGTGGCATCCTCGCTTATGATGTTACTTTAGCAGGTTTGTATCATTTCCAAGGCGTGGCTGGGTACAAGCCTGGCCTCCAAATCAGTCTTCATAGGACGCACCATCTCAGGTTTCAAAAGACGCGTACGGTGGGACCTCGGGTTACCTCGGAGATCCGATCCTATGGTTTTTCACTATCAGTCGGAACCCACCTCCATAAGCACCTACGTCACTCACATAGAGCACATACACAGCAGTAATGAAGCAAAACAGTAAAAAGAATTTAAAAGATAACAATTCCTGACTTTTACTTGTGGTAAATGAATAATAAAAAACATAAAGCACGTATGTACAGCCGTCGAAATGACGGGACTTTTCTTTTATAAATAAACGGGGGATGGCGACGTAACCACGAAAGGGCGTACATCGAGTCCAGGGTACCTGAGGCCTGCCGGTATCCCTCTTTTGCTCAGCAGGTGCAGGGAGAATCCCGTAGCGGTCGCTCACCGTGAGGGCGGAGACGAACGGCAGTAAAAAGACCTCTTAGCCCTGGCCGGTTTTGCTCCATCTGAGGACTGAAGGGCTGTGGGTTCGATTCCCAGTCAAGGGCCTGTTCCTCAGGTGCAGGTTCCCCGGCCCTGGTGGGGGCTCATGCGGGAGGCAACCAATCGATGTGTCTCTCTCATGTTGATGTTTCTCTCTCTCTCTCTCTCTCTC